AGGGTTTAGGGTTTGGGGGCTCAGGGCAGCCTGAACCCCAGACCCTTGCGCTTTAGGGCATTCTGGAAACTCGGCTAGACAACCGAGTCTTAGCCGGCTGCTTCTGAGGAATATGTACAGCAAAATGAAAAGAGCTCCAAGCACAGCAGGGCTTCATCAGGTAGACTAGCGGAATTGCATAGATGGGTCCGAAACTCGCAAGGGTGATGGCGAATGCCAGTGGAATCTGAAACAGCGCGTAATTATACAGGACTGGGTTGCAACACGTCACCAGGAGCACGCCCGTGGTCACCAGAAACCATTCCCGCCGCGTCATAGCGATTAGAGATGCTGGTACCAGGCCTTCTCTCTTAGCAGATTCCAGGAGTGGTTTCGTTTCATCGTATGGCAGGACAGCATCCTCCAAAGACTCCTTCTGTGATACCATGCCGGACACTTTCATGACCAAGTACACTGCCAGCAGCATGACTGAGGCTGCACCGAACCGAATGACAGTGATGTCCAAGGCATCCAACGGGGGGCCACCCCACCTCTTTGTGAGAAAGGCTCCCATAGCATCAAAGAACACATTTACAAATGCAAGAGCGTAGCCGGAGACGAGCACGTCCCCATCTGGTATTTTGTCTGCTCGATCTTCATTTTCTGATTCCCTCTCCAATGCACACAGAAAAACACCAACTACTGTGGTAAGCATGCCCCCATATCCGAGGCTGGCGATACCTTGTGTGGGTCGTTGTTCAACAAAACTGTGCAGAAATCTGCAAACAGCATGACAGTCGGCAGTAACAGCCATGGCAAGCACATTGCACCGATATTAGCATGGGTCACGGTAGTCATAAGAGGTGGAATATGAACATACTACTAACGTCAACGGTAGCTGGAGTTTCACTGCAAAACGACAACTCGAATGAACCATGCCCCAAGATACGCTCGTCCAAAAAGATCCGTCCAAGCATAGCCTCTTGGGGTTTATCAACATGAGGATCTATGGCGTTTAGGGTTTAGG